TAATTTATATTATAAATATTTATAATGGAAATAAGTTGTTCTTATCTTTCAAAAAGTCTCTTCTCTGATTAACTTTTATTTATTTTTATTTTGCGTTCTTTTACAGAAACATATAACAGCACAATACAAGTTCAATAAAATTGACTCTTACTCAATTATCATATAGACTACAGATTATTTTAATATATGACATATTAAAAATCATCGAATCAATTCTCATTGTATACGTAATACATAACGACTTTAAATTAGAAAAAGAAAACATGATATTATTCCAGGCTAACCCACCCTAATATCGTTCAATTGCTGGAGACGTTCGAAGACAAGCACAAAGTCTACTTAGTTATGGAGTTGTGAGTAATTTTCTATTATTCTTTGATATATAATACCGAAGGCATCCGAGATATTGAAAAAGTGAATGTTTCATCATATTAGGGTCACTGGTGGTGAACTATTCGATAGGATTGTCGAAAAGGGTTCATATACAGAAAAGGATGCGTCTGGTTTAATAAGACAAGTGCTCGAGGCAGTAGACTATATGCATGAACAAGGTGTTGTTCACAGAGATCTCAAACCGGAGAATCTCTTATATTACAGTCCGGATGAGGACAGCAAAATTATGATCAGCGATTTCGGCCTATCGAAGATGGAAGATTCTGGGATTATGGCAACTGCTTGCGGTACGCCAGGATATGTTGGTGAGTTATTGAAAGAAGGAGAAGAGGAGAGAGAAAAGAAAAAATAGAGATGGATTTCAAGCATCGATGATCAAACGTGCACTATTGCGATGATCCGCAGCACCCGAGGTTCTAGCGCAGAAACCATATGGCAAAGCAGTGGATGTATGGAGTATAGGAGTTATTTCGTATATTCTTCTATGTGGATATCCTCCTTTTTACGACGAGAATGACGCCAATCTGTTCGCACAAATTCTGAGAGGTAACGAAATGAATTTTTAAGCGACAGTTCGTGATAAGATCTGATGCGGTTTAATCGTTACTTTTATGATCAATAATCTTATAAGAGAAACTTAAACTAATTGGATTCGTAAAATATTAAATCAATTTGAAATTGCATCTTTAAGATAGATCTTAGATATTCTGTACGATAGATATTTTTGTATATTAATAAATAAAGAGTTGTATAATATTAACATTTGAAATTATGTATTTAAAAATAAAAGTATACAGTACATAATAGTAATTTTTAGATACAAAATATTTCTTTGATTTAAAATACTATCTTCCGCACAAATATTTATATAAATATGTTTCTGGAAAATATCTGATTGATATAAACTTACATGTTCCATAACAAAAAACTAATTAGATTATCGTAGGTGAATTTGAATTTGATTCGCCATATTGGGATGATATCAGTGCTTCTGCAAAGGATTTCATTGGAAAGCTGATGTGCGTCAATGTTGAAGAACGTTACACTTGCAAGCAGGCTCTTGCGCATCCCTGGTAAGAATCTTTGGAATCATTTCAGAATGAAAAAATTATTGAAAGAATTTATTTTGCATATTTGCATATTAATATAGTAGTAATAAAATTCTGCAATAACCGAGTTCTTTTGCAAACGTAAACAGCAAGAATATGCAAAGAAAGCTTTAAATGTAAATTTTAATATATCTATATCTTAAAGTTGCACAAATATTACAAAAACTTATTTGTTCATGAAATGAAATTGAAATATACATGGATTAAGTAAGTAGTAATAGATACATTTTTAAGCACTTGCTATCCATTTATATTTGAAAAATTCAGTAATTCAATTATCATATTTATTAATCAATAATTATTTGCTTCTGTAATCCAATGATTTAAAATAATTTAGCAAAATGATAAACATAACAGGATGACAGACTCATTAATAATTAATAAATGACATCCTATATGATACACTGTATTTGTTATCGTACATTATATCGAAATACTTTCATTTTTTTAAATACAAACATATTACCTTACTAATTAAACATTCATAGCATGAACACAATATAATATTTTCAGGATTTCCGGCAACGCCGCTAGCAATAAAAATATTCATGGTACTGTATCCGAACAACTTAAAAAGAACTTTGCCAAATCAAGATGGAAGGTTGGTATTGCTGGTTAATTAGTATGCTATTAATTGTCTATGTATTTTTACCCACCAAGCGCTATAAGAATGTTCTTCTTGTGTCATGATTGCAGCAAGCGTATCATGCAGCCACGGTTATACGTCAGATGCAACGGTTGGCGCTAAACAGTGGCCAGCAACAACAGCAACAGGAGAGTACAGGCTCGATCGGCACCTCCAGCGACAACCCCATGCAATATCGAGAGCAATCGCAAGTTAGCTACAACCAACACACGGAGCCGTCGCCACCGCCCTCGAGCAATCTTAACAATTGAAGCAAACGCAAGTCGTTGCTCACCATGTCAAGCCTGATGTTTATGAATCTCACTTCTCATTCCATTCCAGTCACTCCCGCCGACTACTCGCCTCCGCTATACATGTGCAACAAACGCTTTAAATTGTGGAACAACATACGCACTGTCCGCTCTATCCGCTCTCTTTTAAGACAACTTGTGTCGCAACTTAGGAAGCAACGGAAGCATAAGAAGAGCTGAGTCTTAGGCACCATTAGAATCACGCGCGCAATAAGAATACATGAAAGGCAACGTACTACGCGATGTAGCTGTCCCTTTCAAGCTACGGGAGCGATGGGAATAGATTAGAGCCAATTTGCTTCGCGCTAGTGACGCGTACATATACACATATATACATGTACATGCAAAAACACAATTACTATCGAAAAGCGTAAACTACAATTCGTTTTGGCTGGTCCATGCGATACAATACGATTTATATCCTCTTCTATAGCAGTACGGCAGTTACGTTCGCAGGCTTTATTCTTATGATTTACGACGTTTCCTGTGTTACGCATAAGCAATAGCTCGTACCAATTCGCTGAATACGTTTCGCATCGATCTGACAGAATAAAAGGCGGTTACATCTCTAGAGATAAGATTTGAAGATTGTATGTCGCAATCATGCCTGCACACTTTGTTAGATCGAATCTGTTCTATATATATTATATAGAAGTATATATACATATAAATATATGCATTACGCGAACAGTACAACGACAAGTTTTTATATTTTATAAAATTCGGTGTAATAAGTAGCACGGCTGTTTGATACAATTCTGTGCAACCTAGAGACCTGTATCATTAGACCTGGGACGAATATGATTCCATATTATGGTTCCTATGTAATTCGATCCTCGCACGCCGTAACATACATTTCGGTATGATAGAGAATGTTTCCTATCTACTTACACAAGTCGTATGCAAAAACTTAATACCAAAACGCAGACGATGTCGAGAGGTCGCTTAGTGCACAGAGACGTAGCCTGATCTGTTTCTTTGTCTCCCTCTCTCTTTCTCTCTATCTCTTTTTTATCTTCTTTCATTAACGCGTGTTTCTATATTTTTTTGTGATAACTGAGACATGGCCCCGCTTATGTAAATGCTTACACAGACACTTGTACAATGTACTATTTTATGTAATACGTATCCTGTATGTATACTCCTCTCTTTTAACATATACGTAGTGATATTACTATATTAATATAAAGCTCTGAACGGGATCCGCTAAGCTAGCTTGAAACTTAAAAACATATATGTACATTTTTCTGCTAACATTAATTTATATA